AAATTGCTCCCACTATTCCAGACATATACACAATGGTCTAACCTATTGGCTATATAACCAATTTCAGTGATTGCATTATGAAAAGTAAAGTATCATTGCCTAGAAGACTGTTTTAGACCATATAAATATTTCTTAAATACATATACGTTGTCGTCTTGGCCTTTAATTACATATCCTTCTAGTTGTTTCATGTATATATCTTCTTTTAATTCTCTATTTAAAAAAGCTGTTTTGACATCCATTTGAATTAATTCTAGATCATAAGATGCAACTAATGTAAGGATGATCCTAATAGATGAAAATTTTGCTACTGGAGAATAAGTTTCTACATAATTTATGCCCTCCCTTTGAGTAAATCCTTTAGCTACTAATCTAGCTTTATATTTATCAATGGATTTATTTGCATTAAGTTTTTTTTTTAGGACCCATTTGCAACCGATGACTTTTCTATCTTTAGGGAGGTCAACCAACTCTCAAACTTGATTTCTTTTAATAGAATCAAGTTCATCATCTATGGCTTGAGTCCACTCAGCTGAGTCATGTGAGCTAATAGCTTCACTGTAGCTACGAGGTTTATCTATTGTATCATCACTCATTGAAGAGTAATTATCTTCATTCATAAATACATAAAATTCTTCTAAAGTCGTAGGTGGTTTAGGCATATCTGGTATACTTGATTCAATTGAATCATTCTCACCAAATGTAGAGGGAGTCTGAAAAACAGGGTCTTCCAAACCCTTATCTTTATCAATTTCATGTAAGTCAATATGCTTGTAAGTCAATATGCTTATTTAAACTATTTTCATCATCTATATTTTTTAAGAAATGAGCATCACGACTCTCTACTAATGATCTAGTAACATGGTTATATAATCTATACCCTTTAGAATTTTCTGAATAGCCTATAAAAGAGCATTTTATAGTTTTACTTTGTAATTTATCTCTATTTTGTGGTGGTATAAGCACATATGCCCAAGAACCTCAAACTTTCAAGATAGTAAGATCAGGTTTCTTACCTGTCCATAATTCATATGGGGTCAAGTCTATAGATTTAGTTGAAACACGATTAATGATATATAGTACAGTGTTGAGAGCATCACCCCAAAAATGAGGTGATAAATTTGAATGGCTCATTATGGACCTAACCATGTCCATTAGAGTTATATTTCTCCTTTCAGCTCCACCATTTTGTTGTGGTGTATATGGCATAGTTGTTTGGTGAATTATACCATGCTCCTTATAAAATTCAGAAAATAAGGCGAAGCAATATTCACCTCCCCTATCTGTTCGAAGAATTTTAATATGTTTACCTAACTGATTTTCTACCTCAACTTTATATTATTTAAATGTTTCTAATGCATTTGATTTCTTACTAATTAGGCATACATATCCATTACGTGAATAATCGTCTATAAATGCTATGAAATATTTCATACCTCTATTTGTTTTCACATTTAATGGGTCACATATATCAGAGTGAACAATACTAAATAGTTCATTAGACCTTTTCCCTTTAGGGAAAGGCTTCTTAGTTAATTTATCAGAAATATATGACTCGCATGTTTTGAATTCAATTTCTCCTAAATTGGGGAGCAAGCCTCTTTTAACCATTTGATTCATTTTGTCTTTATTTATATGTCCTAATCTTAAGTGCCATAAATATAGATCATCCATACACATAAAAGCATCAAAAGAAGCATCATTATAACCAGAAAATGATGAACTTTCATTAATATTCAGTCGATGCAAATTGTCAACTTTAGTACCGTACACCAAAGCTCTAGAATGCTTCCTAATGGTAACCAGACCAGACTTGAGCCTTATTTCATAACCCTTGTCGTCTAGCCTTGGGACAGAAATCAAATTGCGCCTCATATTGGGCGCATACAATGTATCAGTCAATAAGAGATTTGTTCCTCCTGGTAAACACAGCTTGAAAGTACCCACACCGAGAACATCGTAGTAAGTGTCATTTCCCATATAAATCTGTTGGTTACTGGGTGCAATCTCTTTCAATTATGTGAATTTATCCTTGGTCTTCGAGATATGTAGAGTGGAGGCTGAGTCGACCCACCAATTTTTCAGGTCATGATCGGCAACTATTGATTATAAGACTACGCAGATCAAGTCATTTCTCTTATTTTGATTATTTCGAACATGGTGGTTATTTTGGTTCCTATTTTTATTTTTCAGCTTAAGACAATTAAACTTGATGTGCCCAATTTCCTTACAATAAAAATAGGTCTTCTCAACCTTATTCTTTTGATTTTTAAGATTTCTCCCCATTCCCTTATACCTAGTATTTCTCTGATAATTGAAAGGTTTTTTGAGGATCTGAGAAGATGAACTTTGGGCAAAATGGAGCTCATTTGACTTCTTCCTCATTCTTCTCTCAGCTTCAATACTAAGATGCATGGCAAGATTTAACATGGTTATCCCTTGTGCAGAATGTTCAGTGCAATTACAACAGACTCCCAAGATAGAGGGAGACTGTTAAGGACAATGGACACTTGCATGCAATCGGGGACTGGATTCCCAACTGAATCTGTTTCTTTCATTCTGCAAGAATTGTATTTTTCTAACAACAATTGTACATGGGTCTCAGAAGTGGTCCCATACTTTTCAGATAGGGCGCCTATCATACTTTGAGCTGTGGTGTAATCCTCAAAGACTCTAATTAAATCATCTTTCATAGAGCTCAACATAGTAGTCTTAACTACTTTGTCATCTTCTAACCATTTTTCAAGTCTCCTTCTGGCCTGACCATTGGCATTAGACTCTAAAACTGGTGATTCTGCTTCTAGGACATAATCTACCCTATCTTGAAAAAGAATATATCCAATTTTTCTTTTCCACATAGAAAAATTAGTCCCATTGAGTTTTTCACGTTTGGATAATTCTGGCATAACTAGCCTAGTGCCATTTTAAATTTTTAGATAATACCTAAAAGTTCAAAAACAAATTTAATTGTGTTTAATAAAAGGTTGTCTACTAGCTAAATCAATATGTTCGCTGACTCTCAGTGAGCTGCAACTTCAAAGAAAAATTTTCTCGAACAGTTTATGTTTGCACTGCTGTGATGCAAGAAAAAATTAATAAAGTACGACAACAACTACTTTTATGTCAAATCTTGCATAAGAATAATTTTCATAGATATGTGAATATGTCTTAGCACAAGATAGAGAGTCTATAATGATATTTGATATTTTTCAACAAAAAATATGGCATTTCATAATCACAAAAAAAAAGAGAAAAATTCACAAAATCAAGATCATGAAATTTTCTAACTTAAAGAGACCAAAACATAG